TATACGTTTACAATTAATCAGTCTTTCTGAACGAATGCTAATAGCTCCTGCAGTGAATTTAACTAGACTCTTCTTTACGCAACGTGACATATGGCAGATACTCCAGAAAACACAGGGATCCAGGTGTGAACGATCGTGTCTGTGATAAACAGACTTTTTTCCGCCGAAGGTTCTTTAGAAACAAGATTAGTTTCTGTAAAAGAAGAGACAGAAATAAGTCTAGCCAAGCAGTTGGCTCTCAGGCTGGTCAAGATTAAGACAGAAATTACATTCATCAGCATTCTCAGAGGGTTTCCCTGCAGCGTACAGAGTATGCTCCACAGTAAGAGCAATGGCCCGTTTCAGAATTTCCTTGTGAATCTTTTTTTCCTTTGTGCCAAACAAAGGAGCTAACTGTCATCTCCAGGGAGTGAATCAGAGGGGTTTTCAGTTTTAATTGACATAATTTTCTCTGCTCCCTCTAGGTTTTGTTATGGGCAAAACACAGACCAGAAAAGTTAGGGATTTGCAGCAAATCCTGACTTGAAGTTTGACAGGGGCATAGTTTAGTACTCGGATATTATCATGCACATGTAGAAACTGTAGGAAAAAATTGTTGCTTAGAGGAAATGTAACATAAAGATTACTTACTGATTCATATCCACATTTGTACTGAAAAGCAATGTGCTCTGATTCTGGCTAGCTTACTGCTCCCCAAGGATGAGCCGTAACATCTCTATTGACTTGATGCTAAAATAAATTAATAATAGTGATTTTTTTTTTGTAGGTGAAGAAGAGTGGTCTTGTTGTTGTGAAAAACATGAAGATTATTGGTCTTCATTGTTCCAGTGCAGACTTGCATGCTGGCCAGATTGCGCTCATTAAACATGGATCAAGACTTAAAAACTGTGATCTGTATTTTTCCAGAAAGCCATGTTCAACTTGTTTAAAAATGATTGTAAACGGTAAGCAAATGACTGTAGTATAGTAGGAGTAAATGCTATGCTTATGATTGGTGGTATGAGAAAGCCAGTTTTCTCTTTGGTTTGTTCCAGTTGTCACTCCTGATCTCTGACTTACATAACCCGCACTGATGTTTTTCAAAAGTGTAAAAGCAGAATTGAACGTTGCATTTCCAGCAGCTGATGGTCCAAAAAGTAGGATTTGCTACTGAGACCCTATTTCTCAGTGCTACCAATATTGTTAGCGATGCTTGTCTCTTGGAGGAGATGCAGTGCTGAGATTTTGACATACTGGTGTGGCACTTTGCCAAGGCAGCCCTAAGCCTGATGACTAGGCCTGGCTTGCTACGTTTTTCCTTGCCCTCCCATTGCTTTTTAGTGGCACTAGAGGAAGGGGTTATTTGGTGCAGAAATCACAGGGCGTACTTGAAGGCTTCTTTTTCTCAAGTGAGAGGAAGACATGTCGTGCTCCCTGAGATGGGATCTGCTGGTACAGCCCTTCTGGAAGTATTGCTCTTTAATCTCAACAGCAGCTTCTGTTAGTGCTGCCCCTTATTTGGTGGTAATGTATCTCTTGTACGTAAGATGCGAAAGTAGGCTGCCCCAAAAATCTTGCAACTTAGCAAAGTTTGATTTCTGTCTGTAGTCTGATTATCAGGTCTGATAACCTCTTGATACTGGTATCTGCCAGCAGTGCAGATGCCCTTTAAGCAGCACCCGAGGCCTTAAAGGAGTAAAAACAGAGTTGTGTGGTAATGTGTTGAGTATGAGGTTTATGTTCCACTATATTTGCACGCTTCCTTTAGTTGCATTATCTTCTCTTACAGCTGGAGTGAACAGAATTTCTTACTGGCCTGCTGATCCTGAAATCAGCTTGCAGAATGAGGCATCTAATCCCATGACTACTGATGATGCAAAGCTAGATGCCAAAGCAGTGGAAAGATTGAAGTCAAATAGTCGTGCTCGTGTGTGTGTCTTGCTTCAGCCCTTGGTGTGCTATATGGTGCAGTTTGTTGAAGAAACTTCCACCAAGCTCGATTTCATTCAAAAAATAGCGAAATCTCAGCCTGGCTTTAATACTGACTTTTATACTCAGTGTAGACAAGAGAAAATAAAAGAGTATGAAAGTTTATTCCTAATTTCAAATGAAGAAATGCACAAGCAAATATTGATGACAATAGGACTGGAGAATCTCTGTGAAAATCCATACTTCAGCAACCTTAGACAAAATATGAAAGATCTCGTCGTGGTCTTGGCCACAGTAGCTGCCAGTGTCCCTGTCTTTGGATGCTTTGGGTTTTACTGCTGTGAATCACAGCCAGCAAATGAAACGTACCATCAGGGTTTGCCCCAAGAAATTGCGAGGCACTGTATGATACAAGCCAGACTACTTGCCTATCGGACAGGTGAGTTGTTAATGTAATTGGGGAAGGGTGGCTCCTGTGATTACAGTGTGTTCCTGGTTTTCAGTCTGGTTTCTTCCAAATACTGCCTTGAGCAGGTCACTGAACTGCGTACGTCCATTTCTCTGTCTTTGAAATAGTCTGTAAAGGCACTGAGGTTTCTCAAGATGAAAATCGGTGCATTTAACGTACAGTGCTAGCAAAGCCTGCCCTGCCAGCATGCGCAACATCTGTCTCAAAGAAAACAATAGCATTGAAACTCTTCAAGCTGCTGTGAGACTCTCTTTACCGATATTTCACAAGATGCTTCTGTTACACTACACATACTGGCACCTATTTGATATTATGTATGCTTCTTCAGAAAATAGCAGTGGAATAGTATTCCTCCAGGAGGTTTTAAGTACAGTTATGTTAAGTTTCCTAGTCCCAATATCATTAGTGACAGTGATGATGTATCTGATGTCTTTTTGTTTGCAAAGATTCTGGAGATTTGATACCCAAGCTGTCTTGAGGGTTTTTTTATTGACTTTTGCATCTTTGATGAAGATTACTTCTGTTGAGCACTTTTTTCTGTCTGTGTAGCAATGCAGTAAGCTGGTAAATTCTTCTAGAGATTACTGTTCTGAAAGCTTAGAATTTGATGGTGCTCCTTAGTGATGTTTTCCTTCCACCTAGATAGGACAGTCGCTTTTTTCTCCTTTTGTAGACAAATAAGTGGTATATATTTAAAGCTTAAAACAAAAGTATTCCCTCCCTCCCTCTCTCACAGACAGACAGACACCCTCATGCCCCACCCCCACCCTATCGAGTTAGATGCTGAATATGCCTTTTGACTTATTCAAACCTTGTGATTTGAAAGCGTGGATCTTCACATTTTAAAGTTTTCCTTTTTTTTTTTTTTCCTTTTTAGTTGTTCTTTTTTCCTGGTACCCTTCCACAAATTTAGTCACCGAAAGTTGCAAGGGAGATTGGATTTCAGAACTAATTCGGAAGTTGCCTGCCTCAAGCCGTATGTTCTTTGCAGAACTACTGTGTGGTAGAGCAAGATAAAACTGCCCAGCTTCAGTATTCATTCTTGAGTTAGCAGAATTCAGTTTTGTCTGTGCTGTTCAGCCTGAAGTCAAGTCTGTGTTTGAACAGACTCTTATTCCGCCTCAATCCTGTTATGAGGTCCTGATCCTATATGAAATTAAAATAAATAACACCTCCCACACACATACTCAGATGCTTTACATCATCATTCAGGTGCTACCAGAGGAGTGAGGTCATAAGATGTTTTCTGTGCTGGGTTAGTATACATCAATGGCTAATAAATATGTAGAATGGAAATAAAGTTGCCAGCCCTCATAAAACATTTTCTTGGCAGGAAAAGACCCTCTTTGAGTGTGCAGTTGTAAAGCTAAGGATGATGAGAAGTGGTTAGCTGAAACAGTTTTGCCTGCAATATTTGTCACCATGGAAGCCTGAATTTCTTTTTCACCTCGATATGCTCCATTTTCACTGGTCGAGACTCCCATCAATAACTTCCGGGGAAGACTTCCAAGTTCCATAAAAGACTTCCAGGTCACATAACGGAAGGTTCTGTTCCAGTGTTCCTGCAGTGGTGATAGGAGACCACAGAATTCAATTGTTAACGTTTTCTCTCTGAGTTAGGTATAAAATAAAACAAATTTTGTTAGGAATTGAGACTACGGAACTATGAACTTAATGACTGGCAGAAATTAATTTTAGTAATAAATAATGAAAAGGGTTTTTTATATCGGTTTTGCAGTCTCAAATCCGCTAACCTGTCTGTGTGTATTCTTGGCGCACATTTTCGTGTCTCATATATGCAGTGATTATTTCTCAACGTTTGTGAACAAATGTACCTAGCCAAGCCTTAGAATGGCTGGCCACGCCCTTGCTTTTGCAGTAGACTCATATTACATTGAAGCTCTTATCTTTCTGCATTTCTTTTCTTTTGACTGCCAGGCACCCAAGAATGTTCCTCCTTAGTCTCTGGTTTTGTATATTTTTATATTTGGTATATGTTTATATAGGTAACATGCAAGTACCTTACGTGTTACTTACTGCTAAAACGTTCTGTATTTTAGAGGATCATAAAACAGGAGTTGGAGCTATTATTTGGGCGGAAGGAAAATCTGTAAGTATGGAAAAACTTACCACTTCTTGCACTCGCAATTCATACAAGTGTATCTTCTTAGAAATTATTTTACCTTGAAAAATGCACATGTGTATAAAACTGTACACACACAGTGCTATAGAAAACTTGCACTTCTCATTCTTTGCCAACTAAATTAATGAGTGATTCAATGTTACATTGTCAAGATGAAGGAGCAGAATAAACAAGTTCAGTAACTGCCAGTGTCCTTGCCTAGCTTTTCACCGTTTGTTTCCATAGTTATTGTTTTCATTATTCTAGGTGTCTTGGCTGCAGAGTTCTGCCACAGCTGCTGTTCAGACAGCCTATGCCTACTCTACATAGTTCCTCTTTGCAGCTGGTTTTTGGAGTGGTAACAGGGCAACCATAGCCTGACAATCTCTTGTAGATTTTTGATGGAGCTGAAATGCTGTGCTGGCTTTAGCACGTTTTTTTGAATCAAAGTGATATTTTTGTACAAATGTTGTTTACTTTTTCCCATCTAAACGTAAAGGGTTTATTTCTTTAAGTCTTTAATTGTGCACTTTACTGGTCCAAGAATGCTCATTCTTCATGCAACTGAAATGTATGCTTTTCTGTTTCTTCTTGGCACTTCTGTCATCAATTGCTTCTAGTTGTTTTGTTTCTTGTTCTGATTTCAATTGCCAATTTCTTTGTCAGCCCACTGGTCACTTGGGTGTGTTCTGAGACAGGTAAAATGCAGTCCCTGGCACATTAGGGACTAGCCCCAGCTTGCTTTTTTGTTGTAAGTTGCAGAAAGGTCTAATGGCTAAATCCTCAAGACTTTTTGTTGTTGCTATTGATACTACTTGCTAAAAGAAAAGCCTTTAAAGCCTAGTGCCTGGTCTTGTTTGTGGTGTTAATGGTTTGCCCATGCAGCTCCTATGGAGCTTTGGGAGTGGGGGGGAGAGTTTCACAAAGACATGCAGTGAGCTGAGTTCTCTTTTAATTGCTAAAACTTGGCAAGAACTAATAACGTTCAGATACTAAGCGAAATGTGCAATATATGTTGCACAACACTTAGATTTAGTACACAATTTAAACGTCTCCAAATTTGATGATCTTCTTGCTATTGCAGAGAAGCTGTGATGGAACAGGAGCAATGTATTTTGTAGGCTGTGGTTACAATGCCTTCCCTGTTGGATCTGAGTATGCTGATTTTCCACACATGGATGATAAACAAAAAGACCGGGAAATCAGAAAGTTCAGATACATTATACATGCTGAGCAGAATGCCTTGACGTTCAGGTAATAGGTTTATTTTTACCACAGAAAAGAATGAGACAAGTCACAAAAAAATGCCGTGACGGGTGCATGATAGCATTGTGATGAAGTGTGGGTTGCAGTCACAATGTTGTTTATACCTATGATGCAGAACTTGATGTGCATAGACAGAGTCAGCTCTGGCGTTTCTTCAAGCATCTGAGTGAACTTGATGTAAAAGATGTTCGGTCTTACGTGTGCAGCTATCCTTGAAATACAAGCGACAGCTTCTGCTTCCTGCTAGGACCATGCTACAACCTGAAATATGGAGGAGTGGCACCTGTTGAGGTTTCTGACAATAGGTGTGGAAAGGTGTGGGGGAGGTTTCATTCGTAGACAATAAAACCAAACCAGATGTGATCTTATACTTGTACACTTGAATAAGCTGCTTCTGAGAGTAGAGGGTAACACAGCACTTCTTTGCTTGCTCCCATGAGATATCAAGTTGTCAACATTCAAACCCACGAAGACATAACTTTGAAATTCTGTTTCTGACTGCTTACAGGTGTCAAGAAATAAAGCCAGAGGAGAGAAGCATGATATTTGTGACCAAATGTCCCTGTGATGAATGTGTACCTTTAATCAAAGGGGCTGGTATCAAGCAGATTTATGCAGGAGATGTTGATTCTGGAAAAAAGAAAGCGGACATATCATACATGAAGTTTGATGAACTTGAGGGCGTAAGCAAATTTACAGTAAGTGTCTAATGTCCTGTATTTTAAAACGCGGGTCAGCGGCGTGAGAAGGGAGGAGTGGGCAAGCATCGGCAGCCAACATGGGAGTGTGAGGGTCTTTCTGTGTGTGTGGTGTTTTTCTGTTTGCTTGTTTTTCCCCCTTGTGCTGATTAATCAAATACAAGTGGAACAGGGAGGCAGCTCTGCAAGGACACTGGGAAGGAGTGCTGTGCTGTTTGCCAGAGGGTAGGGCAGAGTGTGCCCATTTTCTGTGTTGTTATTTCCTTGCAGATTTCCCTCTAACTTCTTGGTGCTTCTTGAGGTGGTGTCTTTGCGCTCTGAAATTCTCTCCCAGCCTGTCCCATCACAGAATAGTAGCTGATGTGGGAGGTGACTGTGCGCTTTCGTAGGTCCTTCCAGCCCCTCCTGAAAGAGCCGCAGCGCGTTCTGGAGGTGGGCAAGTGCCCCTGTCTTTGGGGTGCTCACCATGACAAACTGCAGCACTGTTGGTTTCAAGCAGGCTCGTTCCCCTATCAAGGGAGTAAATGGCCACACACGCGCTAACTACTTTTTATTCTCAAGTGTGTGTGTGAGGAGGAACTCCTTTTTCCTACCTCACCTCTAGTCATGCCTTACAGTGAAGTACTGTGGGGTACTTCCTCTTTCTTCCCTGCTTTTTTCTGTCTTCTAGAATAAGTGAACTTTTTTCTTTTTCTCTTACCAGTGGCAACTAAATCCATTTCACACTAATGTCCTTGAATTCCATGATCCCACAGCCAAAGAAAGTAAGTGTTTTTCATTGATGCGTTTTGTGTTTGAAGTCAATACATGACATTCATTTTTAAACAAGCCCGAACTCCTCTAGGTTTGATTTCAGTTAGTTAGATTTTGCTATGAAAACTTGTCCGAACTTTTCGGGTAGATGAACTAAGGATAAGTCCAAAACATAAGTTTGTTTTAACAAATGCATGGCACTCGTAGGCCTTGATAATAGGACTACTAGATTGTGTAACGCATACAATATGCTATTTTGAACACTGATCCTTCCAGACTACTGTGTCATGTTTTATATCATGCTCTAAAAAGATTTTAAAGTACTTTGGAGTGCTGTTGTTTTTCAGGGGAAATTGGCCTCCTCCAAGTCATTTAAATGTTTTGTGGAAATTTCCAGTGCTTCTCTTATAAAGCAGAATCTATGCCAGTGCTCTTCAATCAATTTTTTTTTTAACCTTCTTCCTTGTTTCTGTTGTTTTTGATGGCAGCTGAGGCCACACACGATCCTTGTCTTCCTACACCTCTGTAGCAAGGGAGCTGTCATCTTCCAATAATAGTATTTAGATGACTGTTATGCCGAAGCCCTTCTTGGGGTGCAGAAGGGACCCACCATTGGCATCTAGTGTCAGCTACCAGGCCTTAGAATGTTTCTCAGCCGGTGGGGAAAATCATGTCTGAAAATAAGCTAAATAATTTTTCTGCCTCAGGCATATAAAGATATTTTCCACTAGGGGTCCGGTGGTTACTCAAGGCACTGAGTCCTGCCCTAGGAACATAGCAAAGACTGCTAATGGGTTTTGTACCGTACAAACAGCTGCGTACTGCAAGCTAACTCCCAACATGCAGTGAGCTAGATTAACAGAGAAGTTTTTTTTTTTTTTTTTCTTGCGTACTTCCTTATGAGTCCTAGGGGAGTTGGGGTAGTGTTTATGAGTGTTAGTAGTCACTGCATAATGTCAAGGCTTGTTTGTCCCTGTCTCAGCTAATGGTTTTCAAACCTTACTGGGGAAAGATTTGTTGTGGGATACTTGTTTGACAACCTTTAATGGGGCTCATTTTTCTAACAGTGGTTTCTTCAAGGTGGTAGACTTGCATTTTCAGTGCTGAACTCCGTTCGGCATTGGGTTGCTCTTTTTCCTTAGTATGTTTTCCTTGCTATGGTTGTTTGCATGTTCTTTTATATGGAGAAGACGACAATCACGCCCTTCCCGCAAATATTGTTCCATTATGCCTATGCACGTGAGTATTTAGGCGATTTTTAGTATTGTATTAATACAAGTTTCACTTTTTTTTTTTTCTCCAGATGGTGTCCAGAAAACAAAATCACTAGATGACCAGCAGCACCAAAACAAGAAGCTGTGTCTTGGCCACTATTGAATAATTAAGCACTTCTGCAATCTCGCTCTGTACTTTTATAATGCAGCCTGTTTGCACTTTCAAATAAGAGTTGTATTTATTGTTTGGAAAGCTATTTTTAGAATAAGTTTATTTATGATGTCTTAAATGTTTTATAGAATTTTTAATTTTGAAGTTCCTGGGCAAAAATGCTGCCCGTGTCCTCTGTGGAAGGAATTGGGTGGCTAATCATTGTTAACGTATTAAAAAAAAACAATCTGTTCACTGCCAGTAGGTCAGGATTATAGTAAAATGGGGTCTGTTTGGTGTGGTACAGGGACTGAGGAATGGATTTCTAAACTCTGGGCTGGCAGAGTAAGTCCTTGTTCTTCAAGTACAGTGCTCAAGGGAGTCTCTTAGGAAACAGTAGCTAGGTAGTCACTAGTAACTATTTCTAGTTCCTGAATGTGGCTTTCACTTCTCAGTCTGCTTGTATAATGGAGACAAACCCGTTGGGATGGAAACGGCTGCTAGATTACTCATTTGTGGGTCAAGCTCCTGTCTCATACGTGCTTCTTCCACCTACAGATAGCAGCAGAGCTCTTCTATTCTGTGACACTTGCATTGCTGCTACGTGCTTTATGTGCTTCCTCAAGTGCATCCCATCTGAATTAATCTAGAGAGAAATTAGCTTTACTTTTCTCAGATTCTGGACTCGGGCCTAAAAAGAGTTTGGCTGTATGCATCTTGCTGGCCCCTGTATGCTATGTGAAAGAACGCTTGGTGCTTAGTTTCCTTTCAGCTTCGTTAACAGGCTTCTAGGACTACAGAAGCTAATAAAGTGTCAGATGTCCTGCTGTATCTTAAATAGGGTGATACGTACCACTAGGGTAGCCCTTACCTTTTCAGATGCCAGTGTTTTGAGTAACTACATGTGGAGCCTGGATGGAGTGTTTAAAAAAGGCACTGAAACTGCAAGCTCATGTTGTTGGTGCTAGGTTTGAGGGGGGATGCTGAGGTAGGTACCAGGTAACTAGACCACAAGGCAGTGTCTCATCTTGAGAGGTCAGTCCCTGCTACCATCTGTTTGCTGCTCTGAATATGACCTCTAGGTGTTTGTTTTAGCAGAGGCTCCAAGACTTTGTTTGCTCTCCTGCAGAGCTCTTAAACGCAAACACCTTAAACCTTTTTTGGTGCTGCTGGTAGGGAATGTAAATGGCCTCTTCCCAACTGTTTTGTGTATCTTGTTCTTTTTCTGTCACCCTCCCCAAAGCCCTGGAGGGGGAATTGGGTTCCGGGTTGCTCGGTAGTTTCTGTTGGTTCCTCTTAACGCTTTGGAAACACCTGGAACTAGATAGCAAAGCTGTGGTTAGACAGTGTGTAAAGCAGCTTTAATGTGGCATTAATTACATGAAGTCTGTTCTTACCCAGTTTAGCAACTGGTCATGCAATTTAAGATACAGTCCTTGATGCTTATAACTGCATCAAGGAACTTTGATTCCTCATGGCTCATAGTATAAGTTTGTTCTTATGTACCTGGACATCAGAGCTAGGGAATGCTTATATGCTCTTACTGCCATGCTGTCCACATGAGAACTCACCCTCCCTAACCCCTCCTAAGAGCTGGAGAAGCTGCTGTTTCTCTCAGCCTCCTTCAGCTGAAGACTGTTCCAGGCTGCAAGATAAATGTGGTGCATGCGGTGTTAGCAGCAGAAATCTCATCAGGCAACTGGCTGACCTGCAACACTGCTGTCTTGCTAAGAGGGTGGCATACAGCTTCATTTCACAGGAGCACATAGCGTGAGCAGAGGGGAAAAATACAACCTTCCAAGGGAAGGATGGTGAAATCTGCTCTGTGGCACACCTCAGAACGCTGCTTTTGCACAGTGGCTCATAAAGGAATAACTGAACTGCCACTGCACGAGGTCTTGTGATCTAGAGCAGAGGAAGCAACGTCCTGAACTTGCAGGCGGATCTGCAGCAGCAAGAGCTCTGCGCCTCACCTGCTGGGTTCAGAGCCCGGCGCAGATCCAGGTGTGTAGGCCTGGGGGTTATTGTTCTAGCTGCTGTGCAAACCTCAGAAATCATTTTTTTCCCCCTCATCAAGGACTGCATCGTTTTCTTGTAGCTTCCATACCAGGTTAAAGTCATATATTGTTTCTACAAAGTGTTTCATAAGCAAGATTTTCTTAATAATCTGTTTTTAAATTATGCATAACTTATTATGGCATATTTTCCCCCCACTACTTTTAAGCGTCTTATGTTGGAATAACTACTCTTGACTTTTTTTACAGATAGAAGAAACACTGTCCAGGTTAGCCTAAAAAGTCCAAAAAACTGTCCGAAGCCTACTTGTTTCTGTAATTTGTAGGCAACATTTTTATACTTGAGGTAAAAGCAGGGGAGAAAAGAGGTGCAAGTTTAAGGCCCATTCAGGTTTGGTAATCGGTCAGCTGGTGTCAAAATAGGTGAAGTCTGTGTCTTTATAGGAACAGTTGAAATTGAAAAGTGCCTATAAAGTTAAAGACGGCCTGGGTACATGGAAAGGTAAAGCGAAATACACAGCAAATATGACACACGCTAAATAAATACCCTGGCAGTTCTTTTTAAATAAAACTTTGTCTTGAATATCTGTATGAATGTTGCTGATAGCCTGTACTTCGTGAAGAGTTATTTTAACATTTAAGCCTTTACTTTTTATTGTTTTTTAAAAAGCATGTATTGTACAGGTTTTCCACTGAAATTTGGAATTGCGTCTAAGGCTGAAGGTCTGGAAGTCTTTTTCTGTCATGCCATGTTTCTGCAGGTTCATCCAGAGGCTCATGAATTTCCGTAGGCTCTGATTGTCAGTGTAACTCGGCTTCTTTGCTGCTTGCTGGGATTACTGAGCAAGTGCTTTATCTTGGCCCATAGGAACAATGTGAACAGGATTTCTCTCTCAGCTCGCAGACCATGTAGGTGCTGCTGTGTACACCATCTTCGTGCCCAGGAGAGCCACGGAAGATGGGGATCTCCTGCCGTGGTTGTTTTGCGAGTGTACTCTGAGATGTATGTTTCTTATGTAAAAAGAGAAATGTATTTACAACTAAGAAATGTAAAGGTTATTTATTTTAAATATATATGTCTGTATAACATTCCTGTAGGCATTCTGGGTCTCTTCCATTCATGCCAGAACAGTTATTTTAATTGCAGGTATTAACTACCAGTAATTATTTGGCCTCATGACTGCAAATTACAGAAGTTCTGTTAATCGTCTGCCTTACAGCAAAACATGTTTTCTGCTAATAAATTAATCTGACAGTAACAATTGAAGTGTGCTTTTTTAAAGTGCTTTGGGTTATTAGGAGCAGCACAGGGCACTCTGAAAGGCGCTCGCCCTTTCCTGGCCCGGGGGCTGTGCCTGTTGCTGTGGGGCCAGCAGCTGTTCTCCTAGCTAAGCTGTGTCACCTCCCTCTGCCCTCACTGGACAACGCGTCTCAGTGTGGTACGGTGCCTCCTGTGAGCCCTGGGGATCCCCTGGGGTCCTTCATCCCTCCTCTGCAGAGCAAGAGCTACCTCAGCAGCACCCTCCAGTCTTTTTCTTGCTTGGGAGGGCTAGAGAGAGAGTGCCCAAGTGGGGACAGATAGGAGACCTGCTGCAGAAGGGCTTTTGAACTGAAATATCATTTGAGACGTACAGGCGGGAACTTTGTGGGACGTGGTGAGCAGGGCTGGTAACTGGCTGGGCTCCCCTAGGGCCGTGTTTAATGCATGTTTAATTCTGAGGAGCGTTGCTGTATTTTAAACAAAAATTTCATTTCAGCTCTCCTGTCTGTGAACCAGCCTTTAGAGCCAAACAGAAATTCTGTTTAATTTGCTAGATCCAGAAAGCAACATCACTCAGAGGCAAGAAAAGCGAAGAAGGCAGATGGTGTGTGCTACTTTCTAATAGATGTGAATCACTGTGTCATTACTGAAGCTGGTCGCAGCGGCACATGCACGAAGCTGAGCTCTGTTCTGCACGGAGGGGTAGTTGCGGAGAAATGTCGACAACCATTTAACCAGTCTTCTGGGGCTCCTTTTGTTTTCCCAGACCTGCTTAGCTGTCTGTTAGCATATGCCAGTTTTGTATGCTGTAGGCAAGACCTTTTCTTAAACAGTTTTAGGCATCAGACAATGTGCTGCTGTGCTCTGGGGGTTTGGTCTCGCTTTCGAGGGGAGAGGATTGGTAGCACGCAGCAGCTTCGGTGGTGCCACCTCCTTCTCATAATGTGACAAAGACAAGAAGGGACGAGGTGGGAGCTGTCACCTTCACTATGCCAAGCGCTGTGAGAAAACTCTCTTGCTGCTCACAGCGCTGCCGCTGAGCCTCTCGCGGGGGTGCTGCCGGTCAGCAGCCGGTGATTAAACTCAGATGGTGCAGAGCAGCATGGTGAAGGCAGCAGTGCAAGGAGAGAAGAGGCAAAAAGCTGCATTGCTGCTGTGCTTAACAGGCCCAAATCATGTAAGGCTCCTGAATTTGACTCCCTAGCGCTAAAACAGGGCTGTTTTGCCTTAGCCACTACAAAAAAGGAAGAGAGGCTCATTGGCAGCCGTACCTATGTGGCAGCAAGGCAAAGCAGGATTTGGTGCCCTGGGGAGACTATCCCCAGCGAGGGGTTGGGGTGCTGCTGCCTGTGAGGATGAGGGCAGGAATGAGCACATACAGCACAGCTGCATGGAGGTGGGTTTTGTTGTTTTTGTTTGTGTGTGGGTGTGTGTGTGTTTTTTTAAATTACTCCTAAGTAATGTAAAAGGTACCCAGACGAGCCCGCGGCTGCAGGCACCAGGAGACAAAGGTGCGTTGCAATGCACTGTAAATGCCAGCTTGCCCAAAACACAGGAATAGGAAGAGCAAGAAATGAGGCTGGCATAATCCCTAGCCCCTGACGGCCACGCTCCCATCTCCTGTGTGCCCGTGAAAGACGCGGTCCCTTCACTAGCTGGCTCCCAGCTCACCCCAGCAGAGCTGTGGCAGAGGCGTTTGCTGTTGTTTTAATTAGCAAGTGCTGGGCAGGTGTCAAAACACATGTCCAAAAATCATTTGGCTGCTGGAAGCACCCACTCAGCTCCCTGCCTAACCCCGGGAAAACTTAAAGGCCATGGGAACGTATATATTTTTTTTAATGCTAGGGTGCTCAGTCAAAAGAAGGGAAAAGGCTGGGTTCAAGTAAGTCCCTTATAGTCGTTAGAGAGCAAAACCCGTGTGCCCCTTGCCTCCCCGCAGCCAGCACCGCCAGCCCAAGGACGTTCTGCAGAAAGGCACTTGGGGCCAAAAAAGTTGACACTCTTCCATTTGACACAGAAAAATGAGGTATTCGTTTGACCAGAGAAAAAAAAAGCATCTCTCCTGACCAAACATTACTGCATCCTTTGGGAAGAGGCCGGGGCTCTCTGAGCCCAGCTCCAGTTTCACGGACAACAGCGAAGTACTTGCTGGAGGACAAACGCGAGCCAGATCTCCTCTCCCTCCCGCGAGCACTTTTATCATTAACTTCTGAGGTCCACGTCGTTCTTTCCTTCACTGCCGATCTCATCCCCGGAGTATGCGGCTTCAGAGGCCCAAGCGGTCTCAACACCCACGTTTATTGAAGGCCAAAGGTCCATGGCCTTGCCGTGTTTTCGCACCTGCAGGTAGGGGAGGCCTTTCCCCTTCTTAATCATCAGCTTCCTCGGAGCAGCATATGCCTCCCAAATCCTGGGACAAAAAATTATGGTTCAAAGATTCCCGGTGCTCTGCTGTCTCAAAAAAGGTTTTTACGTGCAGGCTAGGAGCACGCTGCCCACCCCACCGGACCCTGGCTGGGGACGGGGATTTGGAGGCGGCAGCCCAGGCTGCCTCCACCTTCCTTCTTTCTCCAAGCTCCAATCTTCTTCCCCATCTTGGCGCTGATGAACCGTGTCCTGCACTTGCACAGTTCCCCCAGGGGTTAATTTAAGAGAAATTGCGAGCTCCTCGTGGGAGCAGTTGCTGAGGCAGAAGACGAGGAGCCTTGACCGAAGCCACCAAAGGAAACTGCAAAGTCTGTCTGTACTTCAAAGTTGCATTAGGAGAGACCTCATTTTCAATTCATTAGGAATATGTGTCCCAGCCTGCTGTGAAATAGTAGGACGGTGCTTAATTTCATCTTTACCTTTTTTTTTTTTTTTTTGGTTCAAAGAGCTATGCAAGTTGAGCTTGGGGAAGACTCAATTACTGTGAGGTGTGTGGGCAACGCTCACCTCAGGACCAGCTTCTTTCGTTTTATTATAGGACCACCCGCTACATTTTCTCTCCTCTCTCTCTCTCTCTCTCTCTCACACGCGCACACGCACAGCGTTCCTCCCCAAATAGGCCGCTCGACGCTTTTTCTGAGAGCAGGCCGAAAGCCTGATTTCTCGCGTGCCCCTGGAGGTCGAGGCAAGGGACGCATGTCCCCGCGCTAGCAGAGCCCTGGGGACACCCCCCCACCCCGCTCCGGGAGTTCGGGGCACAGGCGGCGCCCTTTGGTTTCAGGCTCCAAATTGCAGGGGATCGGCCGTCGGCTTTGAGGATCGCAGCTCTGGAGATGGTCCCGGGGCTGAAGACTGCGGCAAGGCCAAGCCGCTGGTGGCCGGGCTTGCCAGGCCCTCTCGCTGGCAAGGGACACGGAGGAGAAAGCGCTCATCCGTCTCCCTCCGTCTGCTGAAACCGCGGCTGGCAAAGGAAAGGGTTTAGCCCTGCACAGAGTATAAGGGCTAGCCAGGAAGGTGAGAGAGAAAAAAAAAAAAAACAGAAATCAAAGCGATGGCTAATCATGACTTTAATAGCTTGTAAATATATATTTTTTTTTAATTCCAGGCAACTAAGATGTACATTTGTTGTCTATATCTGACATCTGAAAATAAACCACGAGTCCACAATCTGCTCGGCTTCATCCCTTCTCTAAGCACATAAATTAAAGTATCAGTCACCCTAATATACAAGAGTTTTGTGAAGGAAAAAGTCTTGTTCTGCTTTTGCAGTTCAGTTTCACCTTTTTTCTTGAAGCAGCAGCTACAGTTTTAGCTAGATAACTAAGTGTCTTACCACCAACAGGAAAACCCAGAGCTCGGGCTATTCAGAAAAGAAATTCAAGAAACTTCCACTCCCCGCTCTCAGACTCCACTTCCGAACACAGCATCAGAGTTTGTGTGTGCATGCTGACTGGCTAGGGGAAATGAGCTGGAATATAGTAGTATCATATGTTACAAATATAGTACTTCGGTGACAGTGAAATTTTAGTGATTTGCACTAAATTGGACAGAGACATTTAGACTGATACACCACCAATAATGAGCTACTATACTTTTTAAATAAATATGGTGCCAGATATCAGAAAGGTTTTACTGGAAAAGGGGTTTTGCTTTTTTTTTTGGATATTAGTAAATTTTAGTGTGATATATCATTAAATACAGCCAGAGTTATTTTGAACTTAGTCTTCCACTCACATAAGACAAAAACATATTTAACATTACATTAGCTGAAACACTCTTAAATGTCTGGAAACTGCAGGACAATGTAGTCTTACACAAAAAATGAGAAGAGGGTGATGGACTTCAACCCATTTGTACAATTTTTTTCCTGAAGAGTCCTTTTTTTGATTATTTTTAGCGATTACATTGTAAGCTCTGTTTAAAAAGCAAACCCTGTCTCAATGCCTTGAGCTGATATCAAATTCTCTCATGGAAATGAAATGAAGCCCAGAAATTCCTAAAAACACTTGCCTGGAGCTTTTCTATATAGAGTGATGTCTCAAGTTTTCTAGGTCTGATATTTTGGGATCTCCCAGAACTAGAAGTAAGTGTCAGTTCTGCTCTACTTTTGAGAATGTCTTCATTTCATGGAAGCAAAACTCATCTTCAGTCTTTCAGTGCTTGGAAGACATTGGACTTCATCCTTGCTATTTGGATTACTGGTGTTTTACAAGGGAATTACTTTTATGGATTGCTTTTTTTTAGTTTTTTTTTTTTTTTTTTTAGTTTTCATTTAACTCCCTCCCCCCCACCATGCTCTCGACACCTAGGGACAAAGACAAAAAAAAAACCAGGCACTTGCTGTGCCTTCCCAAGCGCTACTGTGGCGTTGAAGGGACGCAGAGGAGCTTAACGAAGGAGGTTAACGCCTGCAGCGGGAAACGAGGGGCCGTCCCTCACGCCATCGGCTTTTTTAAGTTTCGGATTTGCTTT